TGTGTGTGTCTATGTATGTGTGTACGTCCGTGTGTGTATAAGTGGATGTGTGTGCGTCAGTCGATGTGTGTGTCAGTAGTGGGGAGCGGTAGTGTAGCGGTAAGCGCGCTGCGCTACAAACCTGGTGACCCGGGTTCGATTCTCGCTCACAGCCAATATCAGTGACGATTATTTGAACCGGTCCTGGGCCTCCCCTAGGTCGACTCAGACTCAAATGAGTACCTGATGTGATGTGTAAACATCGCCACTAGGGAGACAAAGGCAGCCAGGCGTGGTGTTGGTCACCCACCCTCGTGTGCCGTGCCGGCCTTTATAGGTGCTCGCTAACCGCACTTGCCCCTACAGTCTGTTAAGGCTATATGGGGGATCTTTATCTTTGTGTGTGTAAGTTGATGTGTGTGTACGTGGTGCCGGACGGCAACGCTGTGGTAGGCAGTGCAGTGGGGGGAGGGCCAAGTTAAATTGGCCATTCGTAACCACCACAGTGGCCAAATGGGGGCTCTGGACGGGTGCGAGGGGCTGGTAACCCTTCCACCTTCAATTAATTACCACTAAACCACGTCTCAAAAATTAATTAATAAGCTTGTGCCAGGGGCCCCAGGGGGACAGCCGTCTATGACGTCTCCTGGCCAAACCCCACTCGGGGATCCTCCAGAAACAACAAAAACTACCACGTATGGCCAGGTGGAATGTTCGAACGCTCTCTGCGGAGAAGAGGCTGCCACTCCTCTGTCGGGAGCTGGACCGGTACCGCCTGGATCTCTGTGGTATTCAGGAGGTCCGGTGGACCGGCTCTGGCTCCAGCCACCATAAGGGGTGGATAGACCTCTTCTCGGGGCAGGAGACTACCAAACAACAGGGAAGTGGCTCTTCTCCTGAACAAAAGAATGAAGGGGGCGTGGGAGCGTGGCGGTAAGGTGTGGGAAGCTGTAAGTCCCAGGCTACTTTGGGCTCGCCTTCCCATCAACCAGAGGCGAGGAGTGGTGGTCGTGGTTACTTATGCCCCCACGCATCCATGATGCTGTGCATACACACAGCATCATGGATGCGTGCCGGGTCCAAGCAACAACATCTGCTGGACTAAATAGTGACGGATCAGCAGATGTGGGCCCATGTCCTTGACACCAGGACCTACCGTAGAGCTGATCTGCCCACTGACCATCGACTTGTCATTTGTAAGATGCGCCCGCCATTCTTCCACTCTGGTGGTGGGTGTACACCCAGGACCCCATTCAAACCCCCACTCCTCCTGATGTCGAGGGGAAATGGGCAAGGTTTAGGACTGTGGCTCATGCAGCTACAATGGCTGCTTGGGGTACATGGTCCAAACCTCCCCAGAGACCCTGGCTGACAGAAGAGGTGTTCAAGCTGGCTGAGAAAAAGCGACAGGCCCACTCTCATCGGCTACAGCATCCCACATCAGAGAATGAGGAGGCTTACAGCAGCCTTCACTCGGAGGTTTGGAGAGCCGTGAGGCGCTGCAAGGATGGGTGGTGGTCGCGGGTTTCTGAGGAGACGAAGTCTGCCTCAATGGCCCACAAATTGCTCTTTAATGTCATCCTAAAAGGAAAGGGCGGTCCTGCACAGATGCCATATTTTCTGTCCATCTGCTACAGCAGAGGTGTAGGGAATTCCAACAAGACATACATCTCTGCTTTATTGACCTGGTCAAGGCCTATGATACCATCAGTAGGCCTGGCCTCTGGGTTGTTCTTCGTGCTTTTGGAGTCCCTGACCCTCTGCTCACGATCATTAAGGACCATCATGATGGCGAGCGGGCCCGGGGAAAACTACCTGGCCGGGAGTCGGAGACATTCCCTGTACACCTCGGAGTGCAACAGGGATGACCTCTGGCTCCTACATTATTTAACATATATTTCAACCACGTAGTTCGTGAAGCCTTCAATAGCTGTACCGGAAGAATTTCCATCTGGTACAGATACAATGGGAGGCTGATCGATGCCCGGGTGCAGTCAAGGGATGGCTCCCTATTGCTCAACCACGCTATGTATGCCGATGATCTGGTAATTGCTGCTCAATCAGAGGAGGAGTTGGAGGCGCTGCTGCTGAACCTGGAGATTGCCACTAAGAGATGGGGCCTTACCATCAGCCCCACCAAAACTAAGCACCTGCCTGGGTATTTTGTACCATCAGTCACTCCACCCCCACAACTCCCAATTGGTGATAGGGCAGTTGTGGAGCGTGTGGAGGGTTTTCCATTCCTGGGCAGTGTGCTCATGACAGGCTCCGGTTTAACAGCAGAGGTTTCACTCCGAATCAGTGGAGCGGCATGATCTTTTCATCGGTTGCGTAACGCTGTGTGGAAGCTACCTGGTCTGTTGCTCCGTACGAAGCTTCAGGTCTTCTCGGCCACAGTCATTCCCTCCCTTCTCTATGCTTGGTAAACGTGGACCCCCCTAATGGAACATCTTCGCCGGTTAGAAACATGTAGGCTGGCCTGCCTACGATCCATCCTGGATTTAACCAGGCTGGATTGTGTGAGCTCACAAATCCTTAAAAGATCTGGACAAAGTACCATTGGTGAGCTCCTGCGGCAGACAAGGCTGCGTTGCTCGGTCATGCCCAGCCACCACATGCCTAATCAGCTTTTGTTCGGCCGGATCGAGGGGGCTAAACGGGCGCGGCATGGGCTAGAGAAGAGATAGAGTGATGTGGTACAGGAGGATGTGGACCTGAGTGGGCTTGTCAATGACTGGTACCAGCGGTGTCAAGATCGGCCTCTGTGGAGGCTCGTGAAGGACGCTACTTGGCAGTTGGAGGCAGTCGCCCTCCAGCAACAACGGAGGGCAGAGAAGCGATGCTCACAACAATGAGTGGAGCGCCGAGTGGCTAATACACAGCAAGTTGGCAAAGTACGGGGCACCGGTGGTGCATCAGCCAGTCGTCTCAGTGAGTCGACCTGTGGCATCTGGGTCTGCCCAATGACATCCTGCCAGCGGGCGTTCGATACTTCACGTGGCCTCAAAGTGCACATAGCCTGGCAAAAGCCTCGTGGTGACATCACCGCCACTTAGTGGCAAATAGCGGTTGTTGTGTGCATGTGTGTGTCAGTCGATGTGTGCGAGTCGATGTAAGTGAAAAGAAAAAAAAATTGCGCATGTAATTCGATGTTTGTAAGTCGATGTATGTGTGTAAGTCCATGTGTCTCTTTTGCTGGGCGACGCCGAGTACTTCCTGATGAAAATGTTTGTGCGTGAGTGGAGAGCGGGAGTGCAACGGTTAGCGTGCTGCGTGATAATCCCAGCGACCTGATTTATATTCCCAAAGAGCCAAGCCACATTTGGCTGTCGCCTGATGAAGCTAGTTGTAATTACTGGCGAAACGTCGTCCTCAGTTTGTAAATGCTGTGGGCTTGGCTCTCCAACACACAACCGGTGTGCTGTACTAGTGACGAATTGGCCACGTTGTTTACATGACAATCCTTACTAATTGGCTGTGTCGGGTGGTGGCGGTTTTAACAACACATTTCTATATTTACACAATCTAACCCAAACAAACTTGTATTATGGATATATATTTGGAGTTTGCGTGTCTCTCTTCCTCCATGTTCGCGTGAAATTTTCTCCGGGTCCTCCGGTGTTTCCCTCCACATTGTCAACATCATCATACATTTTCAAACGTTAAGCCACTTTGTTGTGGACAGGTCGCTTCTGAAAAACAGCGGTATAGCTCAAGTGGGCTCTGCCTGGTAAAATAAAAAAGAACTGTAGAAATAAAATAAAATATTTTCCAAGTAGTGAGCCAGGTGAAGACAAATTCAACTTAAGCAGAGAATTAAAGCAAATGTAATCAGGCGAGGGCAAGAGGCAAGGCCCCGGATGGCTAGGCCCCGCATTGTAATGTTACAACCTGGACATCAATTCCATACTCACTGCTACTCAATTGATATCCCTACCTGAGTAAACAACAACCACCACGATGCGAACTTCTCACCTCGGATCTCAGTGAGTGCGCGCGCAAAGAGGAAGCATCTTGCTATCTCGTGACGTCACGCGGTAGCAGGTGACTTGCGGGGTACAACACACTCCCTTTCCCCAATTAGCGGCGATGTAACTGAATAAATTATATTAACGAGCCACCAGTGACTGGGCGTAACTTTGCCCAAATAAGGATTTTATTGGAACGGAAAAATGGAGTAACCAACAAAATGTGGCGTCACGCTCAAAAGCGTGATGGAGGGGAGGTTGGTTGGGGTGTGAATGCCTACACCTCGCCCAGGTGTCTCACACCGATGAGGTAATGCGTCGTGGTGACGTCAGAGAGCAAGAGAGCGCGGGGATAGAGTCTAAGTTTGTTTAGATTACCTTTCCATTGCTCCCTCTCTTGAACAAAGATATCAGGTTTGTGAATTTTTGGTAGCCCATAAAGTCTTGGTGGTTTTGATGCCCTTGGTTTGATCAGGTATTGCTCTTCCTTGGGATAAACCTGATCAAACCAAGGGCATCAAAACCACCAATACTTTATGGGCTACCAAAAATTCACAAACCTGATGTCCCATTAAGACCCATAGTTAGTACAATAGGCTCTGCCACGCACAAATTATCACAATACGTAACGAACCTCTTCGTTCATCAAAAACTATGAACATCTCGTATATATAATTAAATATATTAAGCTTAATCCTAATGATATTCTAATAAGTTTTGTATGTGACCTCACTGTTCACAAGGGTTCCGGTCAACGAGTTAATTAGATTACACGACACTGGTAACGAACAAAGGTTTAGCCAAAGATATCCCAAGACTAGCTGAACACTGTCTAAAGAACACTTACTTCTTGAAATTAAACATGTTAAAGCGCTGCAAATGAACGGTTACAATGATGCACAAATCAAAACAGGGCATTGAATACCAAAACCAAATCAAATAACAAGAGCATTGAAACTGCCCAAGTAATTAAAAACGATAAAAAATACCATACATTGCGAGAGTAACTGATAAACTAGCCAGATGTTAGGAAAACAAAACATCCGAGTCAGATTTGGCACGGTACATAAAATACAGAATTTAATCTGGTACAAAAGATGTATTACCGAATATATCAACCGAAGGTGTGTACAGGATTAACTACACGTGTGGTTAATATTACGTTGGGCAAACAGGACGAATGATCAGCACGAGACTAAAAGAACATCGGAGAAATATAAAATTCTCCCAAATGCACCTGTCAGCAGTAGCAGAACACACGTGCCAACAAGGACACTCAATTGATTTTGATGTTATTTATACTCTTTGGTTCTTTCGGTAAAGTCACGTTGGTATAAAAATAAATTATAAGTCACGTTTTGATCGCAACACAAGCAATAGTCATCAGGTGGAAAGAAACAGCAGTAGAACTGAACAAACAAGGGCTGCTGCAACAAGAGGCCATATATAGGTTTGAAGTGGGTGTCACCCAAGGATAAGTAGGCAGGATCAGAGATGTAAAGGAGTCCTGTCGCCACACACACAACAGCTGCGTTAAAGGGAGAGATTGGCATGTCAATGTAAACGAGTTTAATGGGAAGATAGCATGTCTGTGTTAGAGGACCGGGCATAGCGCCACCTCGTGGACAACACAAGCTGGGGCGTTGGCTGCTGCAGTGAGAGGCCTGCGTATCAACGCAAGAGAACCACCGTATCGGTGGCCGTGCCAGTGAGACATACAGGCAAAATGGAGCAGTGGTGGCTATGTTAGTGAGACCTTAGTCTGTTAATGTAAAACAACGGCAGGAAAGATGGAAACATCACAGCAAGTTATAACTTTACCTGGTTAATAACATCCTTCCAATGATTGCTCAGTTTGTACCCATCTTCTTGGTTGAAATTGTCTTTATATATCGGATGGCTTCATGGACAAATCTTTGATGGTAGCCCAAAGGTTTGCAGAGTACCTTAGTCTCGGAAAAAAACAATATTGTTTGAACCCACCGCGTTAAAACAGTGATCAACCACGGCAGAGGTATTGGTTCTGCCGTGTTTCAAATCTGTCTTGTGTTCGCGAACACGGTCCGAGACATGTCGTTTCATTTCCCCGATATAACTGCTACCATAGACACAACTTAATCTGTAGACACCAGGGTATTGCATGTCAGGAATGACATCCTTCACAGATGAGATAAAATCATGGATTTTGTGTACTGTGTTGAATCGAACCTGGATCTTGTGTTTGTTCAAGACTTTGGAAATCTTTTTTGTAACACCTGCTATGTATGGCAAAGTGATGGTTTTGATTGGGTCCTCAGATGGTTCTCTCCCCATGGTTGGGTATTCAGCTTTGCAGATTGTGCTGTTTGAATATGTATTCATCTTGAGGGCTTGGTATACGTGCTCCAGCTCACTGGCTATGTGTTGCTGATCGGAGATGGGCCCTATGGTGTAGTGTTTTAATGAGGGAGTTCTTCTGGGCTGGATGGTGGTGGGAATCAGGCTTTAGATAAGAATCTGTGTGGGTGGCTTTCCTGTAGGTAGAATGTCCCAACAAGCCATCAGGTTTCTTCTCGATCATTATTTAAATGCATGCCTACAAAGGGCAGCGTACTTCCATAGGGATTACCATTGGTAGGGCTATTTTAAAAACACAAGAGACAGGAAGAATACGTTCAAAGTACTCGCATAATGCAGCACATGCATAATGTACATTGCCTCAATAATCCCCCCCACATTGTGCAAGACTGCAGAAGGGTGGTCAACACATCTACGCCTCTATATAAGTAACGAAATAAAAGACTTCACAAATCTGTCTGTCGCCTGATGAAGCTAGTTCTAATTACTGGCGAAACGTCGTACTCAGATTGTAAATGTTGTGGCTTGGCTCTCCAACACACCGGTGTGCTGTACTTGTGACCAATTGGCATGTTCTGTTAATGTGACAACCCTTACTCGTTGGCTGTCGGGTGGCGGCGGGTTTAACAACACATTTCTATATTTATGCGATGTAACCCACAAACCTCTATAATGGATGATATTGGACACAAAAGCCTACGTGTTAAACTGCATACAGTGTTGGCACAGTCGGGGACAAAGTCATCTCAGTCAGTCGACCCATGGCACCTGGGTCTGCCCCGTGAACTCCTGCTGGCGGGCGTTTGACACTTCACGTGACCTTAACGTGCACATAGCCTGGTACAAGCGCCGTGGTGACATCACCGCCACTTAGTGGAAAATGGTGGTTATTGTTCTTGTTACTATGTATACACCGTGTATGAGCAGACTGTGTGTACACCTTATTTATACAATTTATACACTGCGTATGTGTACACACTGTGGATGGTCCGAATCAGTCGGGCCGCATTATCTTTTCATCAGCTGCGCATTGCTGCGTGGAAGCTACCTGGTCAATCGCTCCGTACGGAGCGTCGGGTCTTCTCGACCAGTCATGTCCTTCCTTCTACAGGCATGTGAAACGTGGACCCTCTAAATGGAACATCTGCATCGGTTAGAAACATTCAGGCTGGCATGCCTACACTCAGATTGAGGGAAGCCAAGTGGTAGCGCATTCTTTTTATTGCAGAGGTTTAAGGTACAAATCCGATAGGCACCTCTGGCTACTCCAGTAACATTAACCAAAATATGCACCGTCTGCTGAACAGTGGATGTAAAACATACTATTGTGTCATTCAAAACGCATAGGTCATTGCATGTTGCTGTCATTGTCAAAATTTGGGTAATTCCAAATATTATCCAGAAAAAACGTAACGGAGATTACATGCCAATTATCGCCCGCTACTGACAGACTCATGCCCACATGCAGGCTGGTGCAGGGCCATCTTATGCCATACAGAGGCAGCTGCCACGTGGGGTGCTCTTCAAGTGTTTGTGATGAGATATGATAGAAAACTCCGAATTGCTGAGGCAATTAAGCAAGTTTAACACGTCGGCTTCCGCGACCAATATCATCCATAAGAGGTTTTTTGGGTTAGATCGCGTAAAACAAATGCATCATTAAACCCGCCACCACCCGGCACAGCCAATTAGGAAGGTGTGACATGTAAACAGAACATGCCAATTTGTTACTAGTGTCGTCATCGGAGCAGGAGACACGGTTTCTCAGGGGGCACCTTCTTTATTAACACCTTCACAGGTTCGCCATCGCTCTATCCATAGTTATCTAGCCTAGCCTAAACACAACCCTGACTGAATAACACCGATGGCGCTGACCGAGACAGCCAACAACTCTCCGGCCGCGCAATATCTAGCAAAGACGGCAGCGACAAAAGCGACGAAGATGACAGTGACGACGAGAAGAGCCCACTCTCAGAACCGGCATCCCTGAGCTCCCACTCTCAGCTCCTTTTATGCTACCCAGCATGGCCTGGCTCCGCCCTCGTCGCGCCTTTCTTCTCGAACCCACGAGCAGATTCCAGGGGCTCCAGATATGGTCTTCCCTGACCCTTGCCCAGTTCCTCCGCCCTTCCGACACACCCGTGTATATGCTTGCCGGCGTGTACTGTTTCTAAACCCCAGTTGCCGTTGCTGGACAACAGTTGGCTGACATCCAGCAACTGCAACCGGTAGATAGGCAGAGCAACCCCCAACCCCGAGTAACACCACCGACACAAAAAAAACCTTGGTTGTGTAGGGCTGTTACAGAGGGGCTGTTTGTGTAGGGCTGTTTGCATAGGGGCTAACGGATAACAAACACAGTGGGCGGGGACTCCGTGAGCACACGGGGTGGTGCCCGCAACGACGTCCGCACTGGACGGCGTGAGGGGGGTTTCGATCCTCTAGGGGGGTATAAAAAGGGATGAGCCAGAGAGCTCGGGGCTCAGTCTTAGTGTAGTTAAGGGAAGACAGAAGACCGGCCAGATAGGCCCTGGACTCCCCCTGGGACGCCGCCCTTGTAAGGGCAGCGCAGGCTGGAGCCAGTGGTGTGGTCCCGGAACCAGAGGTAGACCTCTGGGATTCCGGGTACCGTAGCCCGACTGACCAGTGTCGGGCCAGACAGCCTCCCCTAGCCCGTTAGCGGAGGACTCGGCTAGGAAGGCTAGCTAGGGGTGAATTCCCAGTGTTATGGGTGAGGGGGCCGATACATCCCTCCAGTGCTGTAAGACATTGTGCAAATAAATACGTGTGCCTTACCACGTTGTCCACGCGTCTTCAAGAGTACTTCATCTGGCGTCAGAAGAACCACCGATGGACACGCGCCAATCAGCTCAAGCCAGAGTACAGCTGAAGTACCCGTCGAGGACGCTTGACAACGGAGTTGAGGCACACGTATATTTATTTAACAAGTTGCCAGTACAGGACAGCACTAGAGGGGGTAGCGGCCCCCTCACCCGTATAACTCAGGGAATACCCCTAGCTATCCATAGCCTATCCCCTGAGTCCTCCACTAAGAGCTAGGGGAGGCTGTCTGGCCCGACACTGGTAATCGGGCTTCGGTACCCGGAGTCCCAGAGCACTGGCTCTGGTTCACGGGACCACGCCGCTGGCTCGGGCCTGATCCCGTGGGGCCCTGATAAGGGCGGCGATCAGGGGGAGTCCAGGGCTCTAGCTACGACGTCTTCCGACTTCTTAGCTTAACTATAACATAACTGCCTAAGCCCATATAACGACCCCTTTTATACCCGACCCTCCTTGAGGGGTGGGGCCCCGGGGGATCGTAACGCCGAACCAGCCCCCCCCAGGGTGTCTGGCTCGGACGTCGCAGAGGGCATCTCCCTGTGCACACACGTAGCCCCGCCTACTGTGTTTCTTCCCCATAGGCTGCCATGCATAACGGCCCTCTATCTAACATCCCTACATCACTCCCCCCCACATAGCTCGCAGCCGTCCCGGCTGCAACAATTTAAACAACGAATCTTTACCCCTTGACCCCCCCCCCGTGTGCCCCATTTTTTCATTAACAGAACGAGATTTGAACAAACAATACTAACAATGCCCCTAAAGGGAGAACAAACCGACGCGCCCCCCCCCCGAATAAATACGAAATCCGTAGAGGCAAGGTATGTACATTTCCCGGAACCCTCAGCGCACACACAACACGCACACAAGACACACACACACCCACAGCCATAATACAACAACGCGCCAAGAGCGCCACGCGACCGCGGCGCCCAGTAACCACAGCACACGAAAGTGTACAAGAAAACGCCAAAAAAAAATAAAAAAAAGTATTTTCTCATTTTCGTTTCGTTTTCAGTTCTTCTTCGCGTTCCAGTGTTTTATAAGAGTCTGCGCATCTTAGCGCGCGTCCTTGCCGCAGGCCCGTCACAAGGGCCAACCTCAGATGGCGGACCACTCGGTGGCCGCGGTCCCATCCGAGGCGAGTCCGCAATTGGAGCGGCGGGACCCTTGGCATCCCCCGTGAGGGACGTGCGCGAGCCCGTCATTCCGGGAGAACCTGGGGGCGGGGCAACCGGCAAGACGTCAGGCGAGATCAACAGAGGCGGACCCTCCGGGTCGGTCGACCCCTCACATGCTTGGCCCTGCGCGTGTGGAGCAGAGCCCCGCACCGCAACGAAGGGTTTTAGTCTAGAGGGGTGAACGAACCACCGGCGCCTCCCCCACTTGATACGAACGCACTGCGGTCGCAAAACCTCGACCACCTCGACGGGGCCCCGCCATGGCCGTACCAGTTTCGAGGAGGTCGCAAGCGGTACCTGGGGACAGTGCAGCCATGCCCTGTCCCCTGGCTTCCACTGCAGCACGTGCGCGCGCGCGAGCCTGAGGCGCTCGTTCGCCTTTTGGCGCATGCGGGAATTGAGCATGGCAGCGTCCCGCGCCTCAGTTAGCTTTTGAAGGTTAAATTTAACGTGCTCGTCCAATTTTATCTTACCTAGAGGCGCGGGGATCTGCAGTTGCGCCCGAACAGGTGGGTCATGTTCGCGACCATACATGAGAAAGAAGGGTGAAAATCCCGTGGCAGCATGGGGGGCCAATCGATATGCTGCCAGGACCCCTTGAATTTGCAAGTCCCAATTGGTCTGTGACTCCGAAACCAGGTGCGACAACATAGACGTGATGGTACGATGCAGACGCTCGACCATCCCGTCAGTTTGTGGGTGATAGGGAGAGGTACGAATCTTTTTTGTACCTAGGAGATCACAGACTTGTTTGAGGAGGTTCCCGGAAAAATTTTTACCCTGGTCGGTCAGCAGCCGCTCCGGAGCACCTTTGTCCATGACGTAGCCTTGGACAAAGGCGTCCACGATGGCTGCTGCCGACTGATTTGCCAGGGGCCAGGCCATAGGCCAGCGTGTGAAGTATTCGACCCCTGTTAGCAAATATCTATTGCCCCTAGGGGTGGCGGGAAACGGCCCCAGGATATCCAACGCCACGAGTTCGTTCACCCTGGAGACTGTGATGGACTGCAACGGCGGGTTCGACTCCCGAGCTGGTGGTTTGCGTTGCGCACACCGGGGGCATGCTGCCAGCAGATCCGTGACATCCCGTGTCATGCCCGGCCAAAAAAAATCCAGCTGGAGCGAGGCGAGGGTCTTTTGGGTACCCAGGTGGAGGAGGCGCTCATGAGCAGCCCACACCACCTTACCCCGTAACCCCTCAGGAACTACCAGCCGGTGACGGTGGGATTTACCGTCCCAATGCATGAGCAAGCCTGCGTGTATTTCCCAATTGTCGGCATCACCCGTCCCGCACCCCCTCTCTCTAGCGCGACGACGCAGCGCGAGGAGGGAGGCGTCCTCCATCTGGAGGCGTCCCCACTCAATCACAGGCAACCCAAGCAGGGAATCCCTTCCCTGTTTCCCGATCTCATCGGGGAGCAATGTGTCAACATCGGCGGCGGCCGCCAGGACTGGAACCGTCATGTCCCCAGCTGGCTTGCAACGCCCCGACCCCAGGAGGCATGCGCATTCGGAGGTGGTGGGCATGCGCGACAGAGCGTCCGCATTTGTGTGGCGAATGCCCTTACGATAGGTGGTGTCAAAATCGAATTCCTGGAGGACCTCCAGCCATCGGGACAATTGTCCCGATGGCTGTTGAACCTTCAGGGCGTACTGCAGTGCCGCATGATCCGTACGGACAGTGAAATGCTGACCGTACAGATATGGGCGGTACTGTTGGATGAAGAAAACAATTGCCAACAGTTCCCTACGGGTGACACAATATTTTTGCTCCGCTGGAGACAACACCCGACTGCCGTACGCAACCACCCGTTCCACGCCATCAACCACCTGGGAAAGCACGCCTCCGATACCTGTGTTGCTCGCGTCGGTGTCGAGCAAAAATGGCCTCGAAAAATCGGGGTAAATCAAAGGAGGAGCCCTCACCAATGCATCCCGAAGGGAGCAGAAAGCTACTTCCTCATCCCGACCCCAGTGGAACCGAACCCCTTTTGATGTCAAAGCATGTAGAGGTTTGGCAATTGTAGCAAAATTAGGGACGAACCGTCGGTAATATGAAGCGAAGCCAATAAAACTCCTCACCTCTCCCACCGAGGTCGGAATTGGCCAGGAGCTGACACACTGCGTTTTGGCGGGATCGGTAGCAATACCCGAGCGCCCCACGATGTGCCCCAAATAACGCACTGACTCGCGAAACAAATAGCATTTTTGGGGCTTAAATTTCAAATTAGCAGCCCGCATCCTTTGGAAAACCGCCCGCAGCCTCTGGAGATGTTCGTCAAAGGTTCTTCCAAAAACAATCACGTCGTCCAAATAAATCAGGCACGATTCCCATTGCAATCCAGCCAAAACCAATTCCATCAATCGCTGGAAGGTTGCCGGCGCTGAGTGTAAGCCCATCGGCAACCGGTTGAATTGGAACAGGCCGTGCGGTGTACGGAAAGCGGTTTTAGGTTTCGAGTCATCGTCCAGAGGAAGCTGCCAGAATCCCGAAAGTAAATCTAGCGTGGAGAAGAATCGCGCTCCCGCCAAGGCGTCCAGCGATTCGTCCATCCGTGGGAGCGGGTATGCGTCGGCAACCGAAACCTTATTAAGGCGACGGAAATCTACGCAAAACCGCAACGAGCCATCCTGTTTCTTAACCAGGACAATCGGTGCTCCCCAAGGGCTGGTAGAGGGAGAGATAATGTCGGCGGCTAACATGTCATTTACAGCCGATTTGACATGTTCCTTTTCGGCGGGACTCAACCGAAAAGGATTTTGGCGAATAGGCGCGCTGTCACCCGTGTCAATATGGTGACGCAGCAGGTGAGTACAACCCAAATCGTATTTATTCCGACTGAAAACGTCGGAAAATTCCTTTAGCAGCGATCTAAGCCGTTGGCGCTCTAAATTGGACAGGTTCGTCGATCCCGCACAAAGCGCGTCGAGCCACCCTTCATCGCCGTCCGAATGCGGGTGCGTCCGAGCAGCAGTGTCAATGTGGTTCACGGCAGGTTCCTCGCAGGGCACCGGCGTCGCGTGAGCGAGCACAGTCCCTTGGGGAACCACTACTGTCTGCGACCCGACATTGAGGACCGCGATGAAGGGATCCTCGTCCCCCCTTACGATGGTCTGGGCCGGAATTAAATGAGGCCCATTAACCCCGGCCCTAGACGGCCCCAGCACAACACCCTGATCCCCAACACCCTTAGCGAAGGGCCTACGAAGTTTAAGAGGTACCAGCATTTGTGCCCCCGGCGGCACACGCACTGTTTTTACGACGAACGCCGGTACCGTCGCAAACGCCGTCCGAGTCGCTACAGGGGAAGGCAGGAACGCCATACGTCGCCCCGACGGAAGCTCAATGCATCCTTGGTCGATCAAAATACGAATTGGCATCCTGCCCAAGAAGTCCGTCCCCAGCAGGCACGGAACCGCCAGCGAGGAGGAGACAAAAATCGGCCCCGACAATTTGATGTCCCCGATAGAAATTTGCGCTCGAATCTGTCCCACGATGCCGAGGGAGCCCCCGTTAGCGGCATAGAAAGGGACATTAACCGGTAGCAGAGGACGGCTCTGCACCGGTAGGATATTGTAAATTAGTTCCGAAATAATTGTCGCCGATGCCCCTGTATCGACTATGATGCGTACCTCCACCCCATCAATGTAACCGACCACGGCCGACGATCCCGACGCCGCGGCCACCACGCGATGGGCCAACACGGACCACCGCTCGGGCTCGATTTGAGTCCCCGCAGTGATCCGCGCCGGTCCATCGCAGCGCCCCACCGGCCCCCCGTTCGTTACGGTGCGAGAGTGTGCGACAGGTGGGTGCGTTGGCCAAACATGTGAGGTGCCGCGACTCGCCGGATCATGGTGCTGGAGCTTGGGAGGAGGAAGAGGAGGGCCGGCGTCCCGTCGAGGCGTCGTCCCCCGCTGTCGAGGAGAACGGCACCCCGAGGCGACATGGCCCCGGATGCCGCAGTTGAAGCACCGCGGGAGCGCCGATGGAGACGATGGACGGTCGAACCGCCTCGCCCCGTCACGACCCGGCCGCGCCCCCGTCGTCTGTTGCCGTCGATGGTCGACGGCATAAAGTTCTTCTGACGGAAGGGTGGCTGCAGCCACCGCACGCCCAGCCGATGCCCTGTTTGCCTTTCGCCGCTGCTGCAGAAGATTGGCGTGGAGGAGTCGCGCAGCCTGGAGGGAGGTCATTTCTGCATCCCCTTGTGCGATGACGACGATGTCGAGGTCGTCCGCCAAGAGGAGGATCTTCTCCGCGACCATTGCGTCCACGCCGTCGTCGTCCATGCGGGGAAAGGCCGTTTTTGCCAGCGCCAGAAGACTTGTCCGGAAAGCCAGAGGCGACTCTTTTTCACCCCGCCTGCGGTCGTAGAACTGCTGACGGCATTCGGCCGAAGGTCCATAGACCCCGGCCAGCAGCTGTAGCGCCATTGGTAGTGTAGCCCGCTTTTCTTTTGGCGCCGACGTGAGTGCGGCGAGCGCGTCCCCGTCGAGGAGCGCCGGTAGCGCGCAAAGGGCCTCCTCGTCGGACCACCGCGCCATCTCCTGATGGGCAAGGAAGCGTCGCCGGAAGCCGCCCCAGTCACCCTCCGCACCGATGAATTCTTTCAGCGGGGGCAGTCTTTGGTGAAGCGCAGCGGTCGATGTAGACTCCCGCAGGTTGCTTTCACCTCCCTTTGGCGGTGCCTCGGCGCGACTGGCCGATGGCATCGCCTGTCGCGGCAGCGATGACGCATCCTTCGGCTGTGATGACGCTGCAGCCCCGGCGACGGCGATGTCGGAGCCGATGTCTAAGCTGGCCACGCCCCGAACAGCCGCGGCGTCCATGGCGGGAAATTCAAAATTTGAAGTCGCTGAAATGGCGGGAAAGTGCTCCGGCCGCCGGTTCTCCTCGCCCTGCGGTGGACCACCAGCCCCCAACCGCGTAATGCCTTCCAGTGTGGCGGCAGCGGCATAAAGTAGCTCCGCCAACCGTTCGTGAGCCAGTCGTAGTGCATCCGGCTGCGGCCCCTCTCCATGCTGACGTCCCGGTGAGAAGGCGCCAGGCTCCGGCTGCACCCCATCTTGTTGCTCTGTCTCGGGCTCGGCGATTTCCGCGGCGTCCTCCTCTCGTGGTACCCTGGTCCGAGCTGTATGGCGCGTTTCCATTTTTACCACTTCTGACGCCAGATGAAGTACCCGTCGAGGACGCTTGACAACGGAGTTGAGGCACACGTATATTTATTTAACAAGTTGCCAGTACAGGACAGCACTAGAGGGGGTAGCGGCCCCCTCACCCGTATAACTCAGGGAATACCCCTAGCTATCCATAGCCTATCCCCTGAGTCCTCCACTAAGAGCTAGGGGAGGCTGTCTGGCCCGACACTGGTAATCGGGCTTCGGTACCCGGAGTCCCAGAGCACTGGCTCTGGTTCACGGGACCACGCCGCTGGCTCGGGCCTGATCCCGTGGGGCCCTGATAAGGGCGGCGATCAGGGGGAGTCCAGGGCTCTAGCTACGACGTCTTCCGACTTCTTAGCTTAACTATAACATAACTGCCTAAGCCCATATAACGACCCCTTTTATACCCGACCCTCCTTGAGGGGTGGGGCCCCGGGGGATCGTAACGCCGAACCAGCCCCCCCCAGGGTGTCTGGCTCGGACGTCGCAGAGGGCATCTCCCTGTGCACACACGTAGCCCCGCCTACTGTGTTTCTTCCCCATAGGCTGCCATGCATAACGGCCCTCTATCTAACATCCCTACACAGCAAATGGAAGACGCCGCCGAAATTGTCGAGCCCGAGATGGCTCAACAGGACAACGTGCAGCCGGGGCCGGACGCGTTCTTACCGGAACGTCGGCAGGAAGAGGAGCCGCGGACAGACGAGCTGAGGCTGGCTCACGAGAGACTGGCTGAATTGCTCTACGCCGCTGCCGCTACGCTGGAAAACATCACACGGCTGGGGGCTGGTGGTCCACCGCGGGGCGAGGGGAGCCGGCGTCCGGAGCACCTTCCCGCCATTTCGGAAGATTCAAATTTTGAATTTCCCGCCATCGACGCGGCGACCGCTAGGGGCGTGGCCAACCTCAACCTGGGGTCCGACATCGGCCGTGCTGGGGCTGCCGCATCAACGACGGAGGAGGGCGCGTCATCAAGGCTGCGACAGGCGATTCCATCTGCCGTTCGCGCCGAGACACAGCCGAGTCGGGGAGACAGCAGCCCACGGGACTCCACGGCAACCGCTGCGCTGCACCAAAGGCTGCCCCCGCTTAAAGAATTCGTGGGCGCAGAGGGCGACTGGGGCGGCTTTCAAAGACGCTTCCTCGCCCACCAAGAAATGGCCAAATGGACAGACGCTGAAGCTCTCAGCGCCCTGCCGGCGCTCCTCGACGGCGACGCGCTTGCCGCCCTAACATCGGCGCCGAAGGAAAGGCGCTCTACGCTGCCGATGGCGCTGCAGCTGCTGGCCGGAGTCTACGGGCCTTCCGCGGAGTGTAGGCAGCAGTTCTACGATCGCCAGCGGGGCGCGAAGGAGTCGCCGCTGGCTTACAGAACAAGCCTCCTGGCATTGGCCAAGACAGCCTTTCCTCGCATGGACGAGGACGGGGTCGACGCCATGGTAACTGAGAAAATCCTCCTGCTAGCAGACGACCTGGACATCGCCGTCGTGGCACAGGAGGATTCTGAGATGACTTCTCTACAAGCGGCGCGACTCCTCCACGCAAACTTGCTGTCGCAGCGGAGGAAGGCCAGCAGGGCAGCGGCTGGGCATGCGGTGGCGGCAGCCACCCTTCCGGCGGAGGAGGTCTTCGCCGTCAACCATCGTCGGCAGCAGGGGTCGGGAGCGCGGCCGGCCCGGGATGGGTCGAGCCGCTTCGACCGCCAGTCATCGCCGCCGCCGCTTCCGCGCTGCTTCAACTGCGGCGTCCGGGGCCACGTCGCCTCGGGGTGCCGCTCTCCTCGACAGCGTGGGACGACGCCTCGCCAGGACGCCGGGCCTCCTCCTCCTCCCAAGCTTCATCAACATGATCCGGCGAGTCGCGACACCACACATGTTCGGCCAACACACACACCTGTCGCACACTCTCGCATCGTAACGAATGGGGGGACGACGTCGCAGCGCGACGGGCCGGCGCGTACCACTGTGGGGACTCGAATCGAGCCCGGGCAGTGGTCCGCGTTGGCCCGTCGCGTTGTGGCCGCATCGTCAGGGTCGTCGGCCGTCGTGGGACTTATTGACGGGGTCGAGGTACGCATCCTGGTTGACACGGGGGCATCGGCGACCATTATTTCCGATTTGATTTACAACATTTTGCCTGTCAAAAGCCGCCCCTTGCTACCAGTTGATGTCCCATTCTACGCGGCGAATGGGGGCTCCCTGGGTATTATTGGGCAAATTCGAGCGCAAATTTGTATCGGGGATATCAAATTATCAGGCCCGATTTTTGTTTCCTCCTCGCTGGCGGTTCCGTGCCTGCTGGGGACGGACTTCTTGGGTAGAATGCCGATCCGTATTTTAATAGACCAGGGATGCATTGAGCTCCCGTCGGGACGGCGCATGGCATTTTTACCCTCCCCTTCTGTGATTCGGACGGCGTGCGTAACTATACCTGCGTCCGTCGTCGAAACCGTTCGTGTGCCGCCGGGGGCTCAGATGTTGGTACCCCTAAAACTTCGTCGGCCCTTCGCGGAGGGTATCGGGGCCCAGGGAATACTGTTGGGACCGTCTAGGGCCGGGGTTAGTGGACCGCATTTGCGTCCGGCCCTGACCGTTGTGAGGGGAGATGGGGATCCTTTCATCGCGGTCCTCAATGTGGGATCGCAACCTGTTGTGGTTCCTCGAGGGACGGTGCTTGCGCACGCGACGCCGATGCCCTGCGAGGAACCGGTTGCGAATCAGGTCGGCACCGCCACCCGACTGCACCCACATTCGGACAGCGATGACGGGTGGCTCGACGCGCTTTGTGCGGGATCGACGGACCTGTCGAATTCAGAGCGCCAACAGCTTAGATCGCTACTGCAGGAATTTTCCGACGTTTTTAGTCGGAATAAATACGATTTGGGTTGCACTCATCTGCTGCGTCACCATATTGACACGGGTGACAGCGCCAATTCGCCAAAATCCGTTTCGGTTGAGTCCCGCCGAAAAGGACCATGTCAAATTGGCTGTGGATGACATGTTAGCCGCCGACATTATTTCTCCCTCTACCAGCCCTTGGGGAGCGCCGATCGTCCTGGTTAAGAAGCAGGACGGCTCGTTGCGGTTTTGCGTTGATTTTCGGCGCCTTAACAAAATCTCGGTTGCCGACGCATACCCGCTCCCACGGATGGACGAATCGCTGGACGCCTTGGCGGGAGCGCGATTCTTCTCCACGCTGGATTTACTTTCGGGATTCTGGCAGCTTCCTCTGGATGATGAATCGAAACCTAAAACTGCTTTCCGTACACCGCACGGCCTGTTCCAATTCAACCGGTTGCCGATGGGCTTACACTCAGCGCCGGCAACCTTCCAACGGTTGATGGAATTGGTTTTGGCTGGATTGCAATGGGAGTCGTGCCTGATTTATTTGGATGATGTTATTGTTTTCGCTAAAACTTTTGACGAACATCTCCAGAGGTTGCGGGCGGTTTTCCTAAAGATGCGGGCTGCTAATTTGAAGTTCAAGCCCCAAAAGTGTCATTTATTACGCGATTCCGTGCATTATTTGGGCCACATCGTAGGGCGCTCGGGTATTGCTACCGATCCCGCCAAAACGCAGTGTGTCAGCTCCTGGCCGACTCCCACCACGGTGGGAGAGGTCAGGAGTTTCGTCGGCTTCGCGTCATATTACAGACGGTTCGTCGCCGACTTTGCAACAATTGCCAAACCCCTACATGCATTAACATCAAAGGGGGTTCGGTTCCACTGGGGCCGAGAGGAGGAGGCTGCTTTTTGCTCCCTTCGGGACGCCTTGGTTAAAGCTCCTCCCCTGATCTACCCTGATTTTTCAAAGCCGTTCCTGCTCGACACCGATGCGAGCAACACGGGTATTGGGGGCGTGCTTTCCCAGGTGGTTGACGGCGTCGAACGGGTGGTTGCGTACGGCAGTCGGGTGTTGTCTCAAGCAGAGCAAAGATATTGTGTTACACGCAGAGAACTGTTGGCAATTGTTTATTTCGTCCAACAATATCGCCCATATCTGTGCGGTCGGCGTTTCACCGTCCGCACAGATCATGCGGCACTGCAGTACGCCCTGCGAGTTCAACAACCATCGGGACAATTGTCCCGATGGTTGGAGATCCTCCAGGATTTTGAGTTTGATACCACATACCGTAAGGGCGTTCGCCACACCAACGCGGACGCTCTGTCGCGCATGCCAACCACCCCGGAATGCGCGTGCCTCCTGGGGTCGGGACGTTGCAAACCAGCAGGGGACATGTCGGTTCCGGGCCTTGCGGCCGCCGCCGACGGCGGGACAGTTGTTCTGAGTTCCATTGAACAACAAGGGAAAGATTCCCTGTTGGGTTTGCACATCCAGGAATGGGGGCGCCTCCAGATGGAGGATGCCTCCCTCCTCGCGTTGCGTCGTCGCGCCGGGGAGGCAGGGCGGGGATCGGGTGATGCCGACGCATGGGAAATGCACGCGGGGTTGCTGTTGCACTGGGACGGGAAATCCCACCGACACCGGCTGGTGGTCCCTTCGGGCTTACGGGGTAGGGTGGTGTGGGCTGCTCATGAGCGCCTCCTCCACCTGGGTACCCAAAAGACCCTCGCCTTGCTCCAGCGTGATTTCTTTTGGCAAGGAATGACAAGGGATGTCCCTGATCTGTTGGCTTCATGCCCGAGGTGTGCACAGCGGAAACCACCAGCGCGAGAATCTAACCCGCCCTTGCAGTCTATCAGGGTCTCCAGAGTAAACGAACTTGTCGCGCTGGATATTCTGGGCCCATTCCCCGCCACCCCTAGGGGAAACAGATACTTGTTAACCGGGGTCGAGTATTTTACGCGCTGGCCTATGGCCTGGCCCCTGGCCAATCAGTCGGCAGCAGCCATCGTCGACGCCTTTGTCCAAGGCTATGTCATGGACAAAGGTGCCCCGGAACGGCTGCTGACCGACCAGGGTAGAAATTTTTCCGGAAAACTCCTCCAACAGGTTTGTGAGCTCCTAGGAACGAAAAAGGTTCGTACTTCCCCCTATCACCCGCAAACTGACGGGATGGTCGAGCGTTTGCATCGTACCATCTCGTCTATGTTATCACAGCAGGTTTCGGACTCACAGACGGATTGGGACTTGAAAATCCAAGGGGTCTTGGCAGCATACAGATTGGCCCCCCATGCTGCAACGGGATTTTCGCCATTCTTCCTCATGTATGGGCGCGACCCTGACCCACCCATTCGGGCGCAGCTGCAGATCCCCACACCACTAGGAAAAACTAAATTAATTGACCATGTCAAATTTAACCTTGAAAAATTGGCGGAGGCACGGGATGCTGCCATGTTAAATTCGGAACAGCGTCAAAAAGCTAACGAGCGCCTCAGACTGGGTCGCGCGCACGTGCTGCAGTGGAAGCCAGGGGACAGAGCATGGCTGCACTGCCCCCAGGTACCGCTCGCAACATCCCCTAAACTGGCGCGGCCGTGGAGGGGGCCCGTGGAGGTGGTCGAGGTTCTGCGGCCTCAGTGTGTCCACATCAAATGGGGGAAGCGCCGGTGGTTTGTGCACCCCTCGAGGCTAAAACCATTCGTTGCGGTGCCAGGCCCCACTCCACACACGCATGGCCGAACATGTGGGGGGTCGGCCGACTCAGGGGATCCGTCCTCACTGCCCTCGCCTGACGTGTCGCCGGCTGTCCCGCCCACAGGTGCACCGGGACTGACGAGCTCGCACCCACCTACTGCTGCAAGGGACGCCGAGGTTCCCGCGACGTCAGACGCGGACTCTATACAAAACAAACAACCGCCACCGGCGGGTTCGCCACCCGGGATTGCCCCGTGTGACGGGCCTGCAGCAAGGACACGCGCAAAAATGCGCAGACTCTTATAATGCATTGGACGAACATTTTTTTTTCCTCTCTCTTACGTACGGTTGCGTGGTGCTGCGCCGGTGGGGAGCTCCTACCACATTTTTTTTGTTGTGTTGCATGTGTGCTGCGAGTTCCCTGCTTAACCTGTATATATGCGTCGCTCTTACGGTATTCGTATTTATTCAGGGGGGGTGCGTCGGATTGTTCCCTTCGGGGTTGTGGGTTTTGTTGTTGTTGTTGTCGTTGTTGCTGTTGTTTCCTTCATGTTAGCGTTAAAAACGTTTTTTTAAGGCACACGCGGGGATCCTGGGGTTAAATAGCCTTTATTAAAGTTGTTGCAGCCGGGACGGCTGCGAGCTGTACAGGGGGGGGTGATGTAGGGCTGTTACAGAGGGGCTGTTTGTGTAGGGCTGTTTGCATAGGGGCTAACGGATAACAAACACAGTGGGCGGGGACTCCGTGAGCACACGGGGTGGTGCCCGCAACGACGTCCGCACTGGACGGCGTGAGGGGGGTTTCGATCCTCTAGGGGGGTATAAAAAGGGATGAGCCAGAGAGCTCGGGGCTCAGTCTTAGTGTAGTTAAGGGAAGACAGAAGACCGGCCAGATAGGCCCTGGACTCCCCCTGGGACGCCGCCCTTGTAAGGGCAGCGCAGGCTGGAGCCAGTGGTGTGGTCCCGGAACCAGAGGTAGACCTCTGGGATTCCGGGTACCGTAGCCCGACTGACCAGTGTCGGGCCAGACAGCCTCCCCTAGCCCGTTAGCGGAGGACTCGGCTAGGAAGGCTAGCTAGGGGTGAATTCCCAGTGTTACGGGTGAGGGGGCCGATACATCCCTCCAGTGCTGTAAGACATTGTGCAAATAAATACGTGTGCCTTACCACGTTGTCCACGCGTCTTCAAGAGTACTTCAGTTGCAATACTTCCCATCGAGTGCAACCGCAGCTTCTCACGTGAACCGTAACCACATAGAAGAACCCCGGTACCCCCCGCAGACCGTCAACAAAAACGGACAACCAGCGGCACCCCCCGCAAACTGACAACACGCAGCGCAACCGCGGTGTGAGCAAGAACCCCGTCGGGGACCGCACAACCGCGACACCACCCCCCGACACCGCGAACCGATAACACAACCGAAACAACATACGCAACCCAAACAACATACACAACCCCTCCGAATCCCACCTTACAAGGTAGAGTCTGTATTTACTGGAACATAGCTAATGTGAGCCGGTCCTTGACACTGGTCAACCCCGCCTTGGCAGGGTCTTGCATTCCTTGGGATTCCGAATAATGGCAACAAAAAAAACAATAGCCTAAAGGGCGCGGCCCCTCCTGAATTCCACAGTAGCATCTAATCAGATCCAGCCCCTGACACTTTGCACACGCCCGTCTCAGAAAGCATCAGAGACTCGGATCCGGTGGAGCTTGGGAAGACGTTGCTGGCGGGTTGGAGGGCATCGGTGGCGCTGCCGGCGCCCTGCTGACACCCCAGCATGCTATGGCGATGTGGCCCGGCCAACCACACCTGAAACACTCGGCCGTGGGACCCCAGGGCAGAGGGGGCTGCCCCGTGGTTACCAACCCACCTGCGAGGGCCTTCTCCCGTGAATCCCCCAGCTACACACCACAGCCACCATGTCTTCCTCCTGCCATGGCCAAGCCTCCACTTTGGGCCAATGCTGGCAGGTCTTGTGACCCTGAATTTCCTGGGCCACCTTCAAGGACATGATCCCCATGCCTTCAGCGAAGGGCAGGACGATCCCCGACTCCCGCGCCAGCGCCAACAACCCTTCCGTTGCCAAGGAGTCGAGCGCCGTCTCACCCATCTGGGGGTACGCTTTCCGTCCCAGCGCCAGCAGCGCCTCCCGGAAAGCAAAGGGCATCTCAGCCTCCCCTCGCTTCCGCTGGCGAAACCTCGTGCGGGCATCGCGCGGTAGGCCAAAAATTACCCCTTGCAGTGCCATCGACTCCGGTGCCCCTCCAGCGCTGTCCCACGCTCTTCGAAAAATAGCCCCCACCAGCCATGCCAGGCCCTCCATGGGCAAAATGGTGCCCACCACATGCGCGGTCCCCAGTCCAGGCTCCTCCGCTCCCACATTGATGGGACCGCCGCCAGGGTCCCCTTGTGACTTCTTTCCGTGCCGCTAGCCACGACGCGCCTCACGCACCATCCTACGCTCCCCTCAACATGACGGTCCTCGGCTATGACGCGTGCTCGGCGCGTGACCGCGGAGGATGGGGCTCCTCTCTCACGGATTCGCCGCCGCTCTCCCGCCGATCCGCGGCCGCTCTCCCACTGATGTGCAGCCGCTCTCCCGCCGATCCACAACCGCTGTCCCGCCGATCCGCAGCCGCTCTCTCTCTACCATTGGGCTTTGTAACCGAAGTCCCGGGGCTGCCGGGAGGATGAATATTTCACCGTTCCAGTCCTCTGACACTATAGGTGGGTTCTTTCTTCACCCCACTCCTGACACCAGTTGTAGTGTTATTGTAGCTGAAAACAAGGTTTCTCAGGGGGCACCTTCTTTATTAACACCTTCACAGGTTGACCATCGCACTCTTCATAGTTGTCTAGCCTAGCCTTAACACAACCGTGACCGGCTAACACCGATGGCGCTGACCGAGACAGCCAACAACTATCCGGCAACGCAAAATCTAGCAAAGACGGCAGCAACAAAGGCGGCGAAGATGACAGCGACGACGAGACGAGCCCACTCCCAGAACCGGCAACCCTGAGCTCCCGCTCTCAGCTGCTTTTATGCTACCCAGCGCGGCCTGGCTCTGCCCTGGCCGCGCCTCCCTTCTCAAACCCACTAGCAGATTCTAGGGGCTTCCAGATGGGGGCTTCCGTGACCCTTGCCACAGTTCCTCCACCCTGCCAACACCCTATGTATATGCTCACCGGCGTGTGTACTGTTCGTCCACCGCAGTTGCCGTTGCTGGACAATAGTCTGCACTATTACACTATACTAGCACAGAACCAATTGGGTAGTGGCGAGTTTAACGAAACATTGATATTTACGCGATCTAATCCAAAAAACCTCTATTATGGCCAATTAAGCAAGCACCATATGAATGCAAATATTATTATAACATAGTGAAGGCTTGGGAGCTTATTGGCTCTCGTTTCTGGTTAGACATCTACCCAACCGACAGATCTACAAATACTCGCCGCTCTTACGCTGCAGGTTGAACCTAGGAATTGAGTGTTCATCTTCACATTATTTTCATTAAAGGCCTGTGACAAAGATGAACCTATTGGAAGTTCATTGTGTCAAGCTTACACATCCACAGGGTCTCCATTTGACTTTGTATTGTCTAAGAAGTCCACCCACACCTCCACTTCTACAAACTTCGGGGAGTTGCCTCGCTCTGCCTCAGAATCAGAATTCTCCTCCTGCTTCACGTTGCCTCCATCGATGTGAAGGTCTGATTTTCGAGCTGAATCTTCATCTTCACAGTTTACCTTCACTTCTTTGCTCTTTACTGTCACTTTTTCACACTTCACCTTCGCGTCTTCATATTTCATCTTGATACCTTTCCAAGTGTCAAAGCTGGGATTTTCGTCTGGATCATGTTTCATGAGGGAAGGGCTAATTGCAGCACTTTGGCTTTCACAAGTCGATTTCAAACTCCCCTCCTTAGGAATCTCCGGATGCCTATGTGTTCTCTGGTGTCTCCGAAGAACTGATGAGTCTGCAAATGCCTTCTCACACACAGTGCACCTGAAGGGTTTCTCACCTGTGTGTATTCTCTGGTGTCTTTGAAGAACTGATGAGTCTGCAAATGCCTTCTCACACACAGTGCACCTGAAGGGTTTCTCACCTGTGTGTATTCTCTGGTGTCTTTGAAGATGTGGTGACTGTGCAAACACCTTATCACACACAGTGCACCTGAAGGGTTTCTCTCCTGTGTGTGTTCTCTGGTGCCTCTGAAGAACTGATGACCGTGCAAATGCCTTCTCACACACAGTGCACTTGAAAGGTTTCTCTCCCGTGTGTGTTCTCTGGTGCCTCTGAAGAAGTGATGGATGTGCAAATGTGTTCTCACACACAGTGCACTTGAAAGGTTTCTCTCCTGTGTGTGTTCTTTGGTGCTGTGTCAAGTTTCCAGTACGATCCGTGCTGTTTGCATACTGGTCACATTGTTGCCTTTTTGTACAGAGCTGTGCTGAGTGCCTTCGCTCCATCACACCAATTCTGAAGAGGAAGTGTCAGAGGAAGCGTCAGCTGCAGACAGAAAAAAAATATCCACACCATCTATGTCAGTATGGAGGGACAGAGGAATGCATACGTACACAGTCTAACATGACATACACGTCTATACTTATTCATATTTTCATGATATAGTGAAAAAGATTTCCCAATTCATCACACGGTCTGTTAAGGCACACAATGACAGGACAAATGGTCACCAATATGCTTGGACACCCTAGAATTGAATGCTCGGATGAACAGACCTAACCTCAGCTGCATATGTGCTGTGGTAATTTCCTGACTGTTTCCATTCGTTTAAAAAGTTCCAGAGAAAAACTAAAATAAATTATTGTTTTGATTTAACCTCCGTGTTCAAAAGAGTTAATATACTTTACAGCAAATATAAACTTGACACTGTCACACACTGGCATGGTAAAAAGGTGGTGGTGTGTCCAAAAACATGCCTGGCTGCCTTCATCTACTCAGTATTAATGCTTTCTCACATCACCAAATAATTAAGGATCAATCAACATAGCAGAGGCCTACAATAAGTCAGATACCACTAATCAATTATGTTTGCTGAATCTTAATTATGGAGCTTTCGTGACTGCAGGAATTATTCTTTGGTTCTTTCGGTTAAATCACGTCTAAAGATAAAATAATAAATTAAAATAAAAGCATATTACGACGTTTCGATTGCAACACAAGCAATCATCATCAGGCAAAAAAGAAATAGCAACAAAAATCTAACTAGAAAACTATAGACAGACATACAAGCAAGCAGACATCACAAGGACACACAGAGAGAGGACACATATCGGCACAAAGAGAGGGGTCGTTTCTGTGACGGTCCCTTAAATATAGAGAGGGGGGCAGGGACGGAGAGAGGGAGGGGGCAGAGAAAATTAGCATATCAATGAGTGGCAAAGTGCTGCTGCTGCTCTAGTAAGATGACGACGTGGCACGGCACGCAAGCTTGTAAATTAGGAGAAAGGCACACTAAAATTAAATAACCTCGCAAAATATCGAAATGTGATGTAATACAACACAGAGAGTCGGTCAACACACAATTAACGCTGAGTTCATAATGCAGTAAGATAACTGCGCCACCACTCCCGACAAAAACAAACTCTTACATACATACATTTCACATTGGGAAGGACCAATCGGAGGGTCCCACAAGGTGGCCGGGGATTGGACAACCCGGCCACGAACAGGTATAAAAGCCAGAGCGCTGAGAGCTCTTGGCCAGTTCTGCTACATGAAGACCCAAGTCGGCCGAAGACATCTAGGACCCTGGACCAAGCCCTCCAGCCCTTATCAGGGCTAGGGCTCAGTGTAACCAGTGGTCGGGGAGAGATCCCCTAGGTCCAGCCAGAGGACGCTGGGATAACAGAGAGATTAGATAGCCTGCAAGGTCGGGAGGCTGTGTCTCCTCAGGGTAACGGGTGAGGGGACCATATACCCCCTTGTTGTGATAGGGACTGTGTATTAAGATAATAAACAGTGTGTGCCATAAAGAAGTTTAACACGTAGGCTTTCGCGACCAATATTATTCATAATCAACGTTTTTGGGTTTAGATCGCGTTATTTATAAATGTGTCGTAACCCTCCACCACCCGACACGGCCAATCAGTAAAAAAGTGTCACGTTGACAAAAGACAAATAGTTCACTGCTTTAGCCCACCGGTGTGTTGAAGCGTGAAACCACACCATTTACAATTTGAGTACGACGTTTCGCTGGTAATTGCATCCAGCATCATCAGGCAATTCGCCAGAATGGTGAATTCACCAGAATGGTGAATTGCCCGATGATGCTGGATGCAATTACCAGCGAAACGTCGTACTCAAATTGTAAATGTTGTGGTTTCACGCTTCAACACACCGGTGGGCTAAAGCAGTGAACTATTTGTCTTTTGTCAACGTGACACTTTTTAACTGATTGGCCGTGTCGGGTGGTGGAGGGTTACGACACATTTATAAATAACGCGATCTAAACCCAAAAACGTTGATTATGCCATAAAGAAGTTTAGAAGTCCGTCCTTTACAACACTACAGATGCACCAGCTGTGCTCCCCGCTGTCTTGCTGCGTTTTAGGCACCCAGCATTCCACCCATTCATGTGAGCATCGCTCCTCTGACCTCATTGTTGTTGCAAAGCAAATACCTCCAACTGCCCTGCCGCATGTCACCAGCTTCCTCCACAGAGGCCGATCTTGACACTCCTGGTACCAGTCATCAGCAGGTCTGATCACCTCCACATCCTCCAATCTCTTCTCGAGCCAATGCCATGCCTGATAATAGGTTTTTCCCTTTTTTCTGGCAAAAAAATCTTAAAACACCAAACTGAAACCTTTAACAGGGAATCATGTCTACATTAACCACAATGCTTGTGGTCAGAATGCAAACAAAAAAAACATACTCTGATAATATATGTATTGTCCTTGAAACTGATTGGTCCACACCAGAGACAGCTTTCTTTTAAGCCTCATCTCAAACGGTGTGGACCAATCAGTTTCAAGGAAAATGCATCTATTTCAGAGTGTTTTTTTTTGCATTCTGACCATAAGCATTGTGGTTAATGTAGACATGATTCCTTGTAGAAGGTTTCAGTTTGGTGTTTTAACATCTTAACACCTGTTTTGTTGCAGGAAAAAAGGGGAAAAACCTATTATCATATTTTGGTACTGGAAAAGGAGATCCCATGATGTAAATGCCATGCCTGTTTAGACCCTAATATCTGGACTAACAGAAGCTGCTTGAACATGCGTTGTCTGGTTATGCAGGAATGATGACCCAACCAATGCAGCCTCGTCTGCCAAAGAGACTCACTGATTATATTCTGTACTGATATTTTAGGGGTCTGTAAGGTTCTAATACAATCACGCCTGGTTCAATAGAGGAGGGAACATAGGCAGGCCAGCCTTAAATGTATAAGCCAGCACAGACGGTCCTTAAAATACGTTAATATTTTGGATCCATAGAGAAAGGAGTAATATCTGTGACTAAGAAGAATCACAGCTTCGTTAGTTTCTAAATCTGCTTGTCCTGGGCCGGCCCCGGGGTCATCCCCCAGTGGGATGTGCCTGGTAGAGTGCGAGGGGGAGTCTATTGGGGGGCATCCTTACATACATTCTCTATTGATATCACCCCTGGAACGAGGTCTGGGGTGGTGTTCACCAACAAGCACCTGGTGGCTAGGTGACTCACGTAACCCATTGGGGCCCAGCCTCGAATGGCTTCGTGGCGCTGTCCTGTGCGCCCACCATCCGCAGGATGAAGCGTAAGAGGCAGGTGCGATGCCAGTATGGCAGGGAGATGGTCTCAGACAGACTAGACCTTGGCCAAACCTCCTACGCATTTCACAAGTAGTGCTAATCGCATATCTGCATTTCCCATAAATATGCTAAATTCCTCTTGATATGCAAATTATTTTGTCTAGACGCTCTTCGCTCCTCTATCCTGGCATAAATAGTCGCTCCAAGCCTGGAGCGTGACATTCAGACTCTGTCTACTTGACGGACCTGTTCTCCACCAGAGGACGGCTGCTTGCGTTGTGGCCGAAACGTCATGAGAAATATTTTATTATGTTTTATTTTTATTATTTTATTACTTCCTTTTCCGAAAGAACCAAGAAGATGAATCCCTGCAGTCACGAAAGCTTTAAATCGAAATGCTATGTAATGTAATGCATGGGGCCAGAGTGAATTTCTGCCACAAGCCAAGTTGAATAGGAAATGGCTCTGACTCCTGGTCACGCAGCTTTAGACAGGCCTGCCCAAAATCATGAAAATCCTCAACGAATATGAGCAGAGACATCGAAAACAAAAGACCAACCCAAAGCCCCAAGCCTATTTATGGTACTATAGGCCTCAATTATATAAAGAAAGCAGAGATATAGTTTCTGCTAAAAATCCGTACTCCTCTGCTGTAGTGGATGGACAGAAAATACAGCAGGCCCTTTAATATCGCGGAGGTTACGTTCTTAGAAAGTGCCGCGCAAAAGCTAAAAGCGCGATATTCAATACTTAAGCCTTACCTAAGTAATCGCATTAGGTAAAGGGCAACTAAAATTTACATCACAATTGAAATAAGTACTGTACTGTATTCCAAATAAACTATAAACTAAACAATTGAAATACATCTTGACTTCAAGCTTTCATATTATTTGGGTCTTTCAGTAAAGTCACGTAGATAGTTCAAGGAAAATAACAAAAAACTACGACGTTTCGATCACAACACAAGTGATCGTCATTAGGAGGAAAGCTGCTGAACGAAGACTTTTATATGGTGTAGTCCTAGGGTCATAAACGAAGTTGGCGGGGCTAGTGATGTTTAGGTGAGAAATTAGCATGTTAATGTAAGATCGGAGAGCGGCATTCGCAACGAGTGCGCGGGTGGCTATGTTAATGTGAGAGATTAGCATGCTAATGTAAGATCGCAGAGCCACCGGTCGGTGTCCGTAGGTGGCCCTGTTGGCACGAGAAATTCAACCTGTTAATGTAAAATCGGAGAGCCAAAGCCACGGGAAAAAATTAAAAATTTACATCAGAAGGTGGCAGGAAGGGAACATCACAGCAAGTTATGACTTAAACTGGTTGATAACGTCCTTCCAATGATTGTTAAGTTTGTACCCATCTTCTCGGTTAAAAATGTATCTGTGTCTGTATATATGGATGGCTTCATGAACAAATCTTTGTTGATAACCAATGGGTTTGCAAAGTATCTTCGTCTTAGAGAAAAACATTTCACGTGACCCCACAGCATTAAAACAATGATCAGCCACGGTCGAGGTATTGGTCCTACCGTGTTTCAGATCTGCCTTATGTTTACGAACACGGTCCGAGACATGTCGCTTAGTTTCCCCAATATAGATACTGCTGCAGACACAGCTTAGTTTGTAGACGCCAGGGTATTGCATGTCAGGGATCACATCCTTCACAGAAGTGATCAGATCACAAATTTTATGTACTGTGTTAAATCGAACCTGGATCTTGTTTGTTCATGATTTAGATTTTTTGAAATCCTATTGGTGACTCCTGCTATGTATGGCAAGGTGATGGTTTTGATTGGGTCCTTGTTATTTTCTTTGAACCATCTGTGACTTTATCAAAAGACCCAAAGAAAATTGAAATAAACATTGAGAAACCGTATACAAAAAATATTCCAAGACAATAAAAGAGTATAAATATATGGTTAAACACGTGGCGCACACTGTAGGCCGAGTGCAACCGAGGACAAACACGTGCGCTTGCGCAACACTCGGTTGCACGAGTAAACCACCACCTAATTTGGAAAGGAAACAGGTGCAGCCCGGGTCAGCCTGGGGCTGCACCTGCTTAAATGCACTCACAACATCTGAAGTAGCTGTCATTCTGACGGCTGAGCAACATGGCACTCGAGGAATCGTCTTGTAACTGAGAAACAATACCCTGCACAGAATTGAAGCGCACCGATCAAATGATGATCTTCAATGTCCACGGATGTTCTAGCCAGGTGATGATGGCTAACATTTCCTACTTCGCCAAGCTGACCCAGCAGCAGGCTTGCCAACACAAAAGAAGATTTCCGACATGGACTTCTTTGCCTTCAGGGTCATAGTGCGAAACAGCAGCTTCAATCTATTCTTGAGATGCAGAGCTCTTCTGCCAATTTGCTGTCGACATGTACGCAAGCTTCATTCGATTAAACCCACCAGATGGCAAAATATCCAACATTGTCTATCCTGAAGCTCTCCGTGGGTAACGAATTTAAAAGCTGTCCTCATTATGAAACAAACAAGCCCTGCGATTGTATAACACAACCAAAAAACCGTGACAATATACACACATTTAGACTTCATTGGCAGAATTCAATAATTATAATAAAGCCAGCATGGCAAGACATTACCCTTAATGTTTGATTATTGAGACCTGAGCTAAGCCGGGTAACTTAGTTATTACTGAATAAATACTATACTGTACTTCAGATGATGTTGTGCGTGATTTGGGAGCGGTAGTGAAATGGTTCGCGTGCTGCGCTATGAACCCAGCGACCTGATTAATATTCTCACAGAGCCAAGCCACAAGATTTGGCTGTCGCCTAATGAAGCTGGTTGTAATTACTGGCAAAACGTACTCGGATTGTAAATGTTGTGGCTTGGCTCTCCAATACACAACCGGTGTGCTGTACTAGTGACGAATTGGCACGTTTTGTTTACGTGACAAACCTTACTAGTTGGCTGTGTCGGGTCTGGGGGGTTTAACGACACATTTATATATTTAAGGCGATCTAACCCAAACAAACCTGGATTATGGATGTACATTTGGAGTTTGCGTGTCTCTCTGCATGTTTGCGTGGATTTTTCCTCGGGTCCTCCGGTTTTTCCCTCCATATTTAGTCAACATCACCACGCGTTTAGAGTATTTGACCGATATCCATTTCCACACGTTGATAAGCCACTTTGTTGTGGGCAGGTCGCTTCTAAAAAAAACGGTTTAGCTCAAGTGGGATTGGCCTGATAAAAAATATAAAAACTCTAGAAATATTTAAAATAAAAAAAAAGTTTCTAAGTAGTGAGCCAGGTGAAGACAAATTAAACTTAAGCAGAGAAATAAAGCAAATGAAATCAGGAGGAAAGGCCCCGCAATTGGGCAAGGCCCCGCGTTGTAATGTTCCAACCTGGACATCGATTCCATACTCGCTGATACTCAATTGATATCCCTACGAGAGAGAGGAGCGAGGGTCTACCTGGGTAAACAACAACAACCACCACGACAACAACAACAACCACAACAACCACCACCTCGACAACAACCACCACCACGACAACAACAACAACCACCACCACAACAACAACCACCACCACAACAACAACAACAACCACAACAACAACCACCACCACAACAACAACCACCACGACAACAACAACCACCACGACAACAACAACCACCACCACAACAACCACCACCACAACAACAACAACCACCACCACAACAACAACAACAACCACCATGTGAACTTCTCACCTCGGATCTCCGTGAGTGTGCGCGCAGAGCTGCAGCTTCCTGGTACCTCGTGACGTCACGCGGCAGCAGGTGACATGACGTCACTTGCGGGATACAATACCCTCCCCCAATGAGCGGCGGAGGAGCTGAATAAATTATGGTGACGCGGCCCATGTGTTGTGATGGGCGTGGCTGCTGGCCCCGTCTCAACTCGCGACGGTTTTATGATTAAATTATGTTAATGAACCGCCAGTGACTGGGAGTAGCTGCCTTGATGACATGACGTCACTGGCTGGGTTGACGTCAGAGAGCGGGGTTAGAGTTCAAGTTGATTGCGATTCCTTTTCCATTGCTCCCTTTCTTGATCAGAGCACCCTTGGGTGGGTCAGCTCAATAACGTCGATATTCGTGTGTAGATTTGAAGCTTTCGTAACTGCAAGGATCATACTCTTTGGTTTTTTCGGTAAAGTCACGTAGGTTAAAAGAAAACAAATTAAATCATGACGTTTTGGAGCAATTTTACAGCAATTTTGCTGTGACGGTTTTGCCTGAAAACGGAAGCTTGTGTTGCTTCCGAAACGTCGTGATTTAATTTATTTGTTTTCTTTCAACCTACGTGACTTTACCGAAAAAACAAAAGAGTATACGTATTCTCCGCAGGGAATGGATTCTTTGCTCCGCTGCAAGTTTTCCCCCCACGACTCACCCATTGACACGACGGTCAATGGTACAGCGTATAATAACAAATAGTATAACATTTATATGCTTAATACAATGTACAAAGTAACATATAGTATCGTAATTGTATAGTAAACATATAGCAGTGTGATACACATTAAGGTGGGTAGAATAATACATAGTGTTATATTAAAATGTATAAGGTGGTTTATAGCAATACAGTATATAATTTAATGTTGGGTTTATCTATGGCAGTATATAGTACGGTGTATGCTCGTGTGATGTAAGAGAATAAAGTTTAGATGGAAGCATATATAATTTTTACGACGTAGAATTGTAATGTATTACTTTCTGTGAGTAACTCAGCTTATTGTAGAGTATAGTAAGTATACTGATGGTGCTATGCAGTTTATACTTTAGTTTTTTATGTAGTTTATACTTTAGTTTTCTACGTGGTTGTTTAGTAACTGCAGCTACATACTATTAACATTCCTTTCCTTTGTTAATGCTACTCCCTGCACCCTCCCTTGGTGCTGCTGATCCTGCATAATGCATGGGCATAATATGACTTTGAACCCCCCCCCGCCCACCTCCTACGCATTTCCCATGAATATGCTAAATTCCTCTTCATATGCACATTCTTTTTGTTAAGGTGCCCTTCTTGCACCTCCAACCCAGCGTATATATAAGCTTCTAGCTTGGTAGTGTCTCATTCTTCACCTAAAGACGGCTGCTTGCGTTGTAGCCGAAACGTCGTGAGAATTGTTTTATTATGTTTTATTTTTATTATTTTATTACTTCCCTTCTACGTGACTTTACCGAAAGAACCAAGAAGATGAATCCCTGCAGTCACGAAAGCTTTAAATCGAAATTTAGTCAGGAACATGCCTGCTTTCAATGAGAGAGTAATTGATCACTTTGCTACTTTGAAAGAGAGAAGAGCAAAATTTCAGTATAAGTAAGCAGTGTATTAAGCGAGTAATGTGATGTAAGTAGTGTAATAATATTGAGTATAGAAACAAACAAGGAGATGTAAGAGTCACTTTATTTTTCATTAATATTAAAGTAGTGAAGTTGCCTTTACATGCTTAAGCTGTTAATGTATCCATTGCATGGGTGGACCTTATCCTTATCAATCATCCAAACATGTGCCCCCCCTGAGAGATTTTGCAGGAGCCGCCACTGATTTGTGTGTGTGTGCATCCTGTATTTGTAAGGTGATAGCCACCCCTTTGTGCACCGTGCCCACCTTCAAAGGTACTTGCAGCAGTCTCTGCTTCCTACTTTTTGCAATCGCGCTCATGTGAGGGCTGATGCTCCCCTCCTCCTCTCCCCCTTCCTCCTCTCCTCCCCGCCAGGCTGCCACCGATGGAGTGATCGGCCCCCTTGCACCAGCGTCCTCTCTGTGGGACATGACTAGTGGCTGGCTCCCTACCGCCTCGGGTTATTCCACACACTCCCCACGTCAACCACCACTAATGCCGAGGTGGCGACTTGCAAGCGCGCGCTCGTGCAGGCACACGGGCAAGGACGACGGCCACGGCTCGCGCTAAAAATAGCACGGCGGATGTGCGGACGCGGGCGCAGTCAATGAGTTACTTCGCAGCGCAGCCTCACTCGCACGCAAGCTCGAATTATGCACCACGCCGACACCCCTTATGTGATCGTCGCAACGCAAACACACTGCGTAAAGTGTGCTGAGTAAACCCGCACGCGATTGCGCACATGTGGCACAACGACGATCGTATTGATGATAATATTCATGCGTTAGTTCGCCGTGCAAACATGCACGCGAACGTCAGGAATCGTTTATGATTGAATACACGCCGATCGTCACACATACGCACGTACTCCTTCGCTTTTCATCTTCTTGGTTCTTTCGGTAAAGTCACGTATTTTATTACTTCCCTTCTTTGTGACTTTACCGAAAGAACCAAGAAGATGAATCCCTGCAGTCACGAAAGCTTTAAATCGAAATATACTCCTTCGCTCTCGCCACACACACAGAAACCACGCGGCGTCGTTGCTCTGTGCTAAAATTTACTACTGGCTCGCCCGAAAAAAAACCCCGCGTGACCTGGAGCAAGATACCCAGCGAGCAGTGTCCCACCTATCTCTATCCAAACCCTCGTTGCACCCTTGCGCTATTCCTCACCCCTCGGACGTACTCACGGTATCCCATGGACGCGATGGGAGTCGGAGGGACGAGGGTCCGAGAGGTCTCTGCCTGGGTTGAGTTGTAGCTGCACTCGCTAGCGTCCCTCGGACGCTACAAGCGGCTGGGAGTCCGATGGGGTCGCTGGCTGACTCGAGGAGAACTGCCCAACGTTTCTCCTCTTCCCTCCTTTTATCTCTTCCCAATTCAAAAATCCCTGGTCAAGTTGTGTTGTCCTCCCAGCCAATCGGGCCCTCTCTTTCAATCCGGACAGGGCTGGGCAGAGAGCAGTACCCTGCTGGCCAATCGGGTGCCTACCTGGCGTCTTTCTCTCACTTGCCTCATAACCTGTTGTCTAAGTGTCCGTCCTTCCCTCCCGTGTTCTTGGTTGATGCTTTGTTGTTTTAGCCAGCTCGCTAGGTGTTTTGCTCTCCCCACGGACCTATTCCCCTGTGTTCGGTGTGTTCTCATTGCGGTTTGCCCGGGAATATTCGTCATGCCCATACAATTCTAAGCCAATTCACTGGGGGAGGGGGCGGCCAATCTCCTGGCATTGGGAAACCATGGGACATCCCCATGAGGCGGCCCTCGGGTAAAAACCCAGGGTGCCAGATGACACCCCCCCCCCCCCCCACCACGAGGCCCTACGTGGGTGTGTGTGTGTGTTTAGAGGGGATGTGCGTGCGTTCGTGTGGGGGGTTGCGGGGGTATAGCAGCGCCGGCAGAGTTGCTCCGTTGCTGTGGCACCACACTCACACTCCCCCTTATTTATATTTTTCAGAACAAGAGCCTCTCCCTGTTTGGTGTTATCCTGTGAATAGAGGACCGTCCACCCCTCGTGGTGACTAAAGCCAGATCCAACCCATGAGTGACCCCCCCTATATTCCTCAGATTCAGGCGTGATCAGTCCAACTCCCAATATAGGAAGGGCAGCCTCACCTCCACTATGACTGCTCGGAATTCCACGTGGCCAGCAGCAATGCCTCGTCTTTAGACTGTGGAGAGACAGCGCCTATCGTACCCCCCCCCGCCAGATCAAGTTATATCATTCCATGTCAGTCTCTGATCAGACCCTCAACTCAACTTAGTCTGTGGGTTGCGGTTTAAAGGGGCACTCTCATGAATAATGGTTGCAACAGTTTTCCCTCGAAGGGTTGACTGTGATCTGAGCACAATCATAACGATTGTCACTCTATGATCGCATGTGTTGGCTATACACAGCGACCACGCCCCCGGGAATAGTAATGCGACAGCACTCTTCCCCACGTTTGTATTGTAATACTGCGAGTACCAGCCTTGGCTGGCAGCCTCTCTCAATGACGCAAACATTTTTTTTAAACTCTCCGTGATGCATGGCTTCTGCCAATGCAGAGCTCCCTATCAATTTTGCCAGTCACGAGGGCAATCTCCGGCGCCTGTCACTCGCAGTACTGATTTCTGTTCTTGAGTCCTTGCTAATATATGAATTTTTCTACCTCAGGCTCTTTCTTCTCACAAAGGGGCAGCTGTTTTCCTTTTGAAGTCGCTTAGGCTGTTTGTTGTCCAGATGTCTTTATTACCGCCATGTTTCCGTTCACGGGTTGGAAGTGTTACACTTTTCTCGCCTCAGACTTACATTCTCTCTCAAAAACGGGCGCTGTGGCCTTTAAAGTCGTGACCTATTGTGCAGAGATGTGCTTGCTGTCGCCATGTTTTACGTCCTCTCATCACGGGTTGGAAGTAAAACAAAATTTTTTTTACACCTCTTATAGCTTGGTACCGTACCACTTTCCGCAGTTTTGACTCTGCAAGATACTTAAAGTATGTTTTGAGCAGCATTCACAGCACTCACATCACGGTTTGGAATTCTTGCGTGGTATTTGATATGTTAGGGGGAGGCGCCCCCTGCATACTTAATGTACTGCTACCATGTGCTGTGTTAGCTACTGGAAGACAAAGGCGGTTAGTGAGGCTCTGATCTCGTGAAATACATATTATCTTGGTCGTGTATGATTGACATATTTCACACTGTATCTCTTCTGAATGACCATAGGTCTAATATTTTCATAATTATTTGGTTCATGCTTAACAAAGATTCGTGGACTACCATAGTTGTTACCAAGAATATTCCGAGGGTTTTGGTAACCTTTGTTCCCCGCCTGCATCGCCAGGGATCCGTGCTTCTTATTCTCAAGTTATATTTTGATATCCTGAGGTTGAAGATAGAGCTAAGCTTCCAACTTTACTA